AATATATATATAGCAATGCAAGCAATTATATCTTCCGGACAAGAATGTCAAGTTAGTCTCTCTTCATAAAACGCAATTCCAATCGAAGGCCATGCCATGTTTGCCTCTTTTGCAGCATCAAATCTGCCTCATCTGAATCTTTTCATTTCATGAGAAACATTAATTCTCCACTGTTGTCTCTGGTACCAATTATTGGTTCAGGATCAAAGCCTCTTTGTTTGTCAGCAACTTCTCTGTCTTGTTTTGATTTGCTATCATCAGATTCACTGTCAGAGGAAGATTTCATTTTTGTACCATCTTTTCTTTACTAGCTTTTTTGAGAATTAAAAAATATACTTCAATTAATTCTGGACAATCTCAATTTCCTCCAGGTTCCCAAGTATTATTATCAGCATTTGTAAACCCCTTCCGCTTCGGGAAATACTCCACCGTCCTATTAACTACAAGTCGGTTTTCTACCACAAATTCTTCAGGTTCTGCCTCTTCAAGTTTTTTTTTTACTCTTTCCATTCTGTTTCTTTCCCATTTTTTGCAATGTAGTTTTATTGTTGTTGTTGTCAAGTTGGTTCTGACCCATAGTGACCCTGTATAGGGTTTCCAAAAGGCAACTGGTGAGTTTGAACTGCTGATCTTGTGGTTCAAACAGACTTTGCAGTTGAGCGCATTAACCCACCGCACCACAATTGGAGGCCATGTTTTGCAGAATTGAAGAGCTGTTATGCACCATCTCTGAGTTGCTCTGGCTCCTGAGTCTGTGCACACCTCCAGCTCTAGCCACCAAGCTTCATTGTTATATGGAATCAGTCTTACTACTTTATTGTTGTCCTTCATAGAGCATTAATGATTGTTTCTCTGCAATCAAACACTATGTACTGATAACCAGGATGTTTTATTTCCTACATAGGTAACAACAGGTAGTGTTCCAGTAAGTATGGCATATGTAAACATTCACATACCTCAATACTCCAAGGAAAAGAATCCACTGATGTACCTGACTGGGGTGCACACAGACCAGGTAAAGATAACAAAATTTCCCATAAAATTTTTGCACTTTCAAATTGGAAGTAACCCATGAATTGGGGTTATGGCTAACATTTTGTAGTTGGGAGAGTGAGAAATTAGCTCCAAAGCATCCTGGGATCATATTTGAAGCAGATTTGAATTGTAAGAAAGCAAATGCTTGAGAATATAGAATTACCAATGGCAGAAATTATTCCAGACTCCCCATTTTGGCCTGGTGAAGCCCTGACTTAGTTGGTACTCTACTAAGAGAAGTTAGTCAGGATTTTATCAATTAATTAAAAGAAGTATGACCAGGTCAGCTCATTGAAAGAAGCCTAACAACGCCTTCATATTCTAGTAGGTGAAATCCCAGTGAGAGTTCATAACACATTGAAAGAAATGTCATAACTGTTTTGTTCTTAAGACTAATTTGATGTCCTTCTTTGTAGGCTGGCGACATCAGTTGTAAAGCGGAAATAAATCCACTGGAAATAGGACAAGCATCTCCTTCTGTATCTTTCAAGAGTGAAAATTTCCGGCATATGAAAGAATTGGTGAGGACAGGTTAATGTGATGAACATTTCCTTCAGTGATTCATTATTTATTTTATCTGGAAATCAAACCATTTCTTTTCTCTCCTACCAATTCATATCAACCCACCCACACACACCCACAAAAATCAACAGTTAATTCCTACTGATGGCAACCCCGTTTATGTCAGAGTAGAATTGTGCTCCATGGAGTTTTTCTTGTTTGTTTTTTAAGTTTTTATTATGAATTGAGTGATTGTTTACATGGGAGAACATCAATTTTATACCACCGTTTCATTGCAATGATTACAATCTCTTCAGTGCATCATCATTCAACAGTATTTGCTTCTATTCCTCTGTTGTTGTTGTTTTTTTTGGGGGGGAGGGGGAATGTACACAGAAACACTCAGGAATATATAATCATTTAAACAACCAAAGGGCACATTCTGCAAGCCTGCCTCCTGGCCACCAGTACTCAGTCTTTCTCTTTCCATGAGTCTAGAGTCCTCAGCTGCTCTCTCTCTCCATGTTCTCATCTCTGCCTCCATCTTGGTGTCGCTGCTTCTCTGGATGGGGTCCTGCATTCTGCTCGTGTTCTTCTCTCTTGATGATCCTAGGGTCTGCTGTTTCAGGAGTGTAAGATTAACTACTCCCTCATTTTTGTTATGAAACTTCTACCTTTACAATTGTGACAGTCGCAACTATTCACAATAACAATTATTCACTATTGAATCATAAGAATCTTATACCCATTTCTTTTCACCAAATCCATCTAGACAAGATGTAAACTATTCAGTGGGGACTCTACCTCCCCCCACACACTCTGAAACTAAATTTCCTCTTAAAAACTTGTAAGCCAGTCAAGTTTGTGCCCTTATCACCCCCCTCCTTTTAGATAGCTAATGTCTAAGTCGACTGTCCCTATCTATCCTGTATAAAAAGGGGATAGGATAGATAGATGATATGAAGACTCTTTCCCTCTCAGTTGGTATTTTGAGCTACTGCATTCATAAGTATAGGTCAAGTCCATCAAATTGTAGCAATTTACACTTGTTTCCTTTACCAAAAATTTTGTTTTTTATCCTCTTCTAGTCAAGTTCTGAAGGAGCTCTTGTAGAGCAGTGGTTATGAATCGGGCTGCAAACCAAAAGGTCAGCAGTTCAAAACTACCAGCTGTTACTCAGGAGAAAAATGAGGCTTTCTGCTCCCGAAAAGATTTACAGCCTCGGAAACTCTATGCAGGGTCACTATGAGTTGGAACCAACTCCACGGCACATAACCACAACTAGCCAAGCTCTGATTATCAAGACATTGAGGCTAGGTCAAATGGGTGCTATCTGCAAGTTTGCGTGTTCTTATGTATCTCCCCTCACTCTCAGTTCTGCCCACCATGGCTATGTGCTTATCATGGGCTCAGGAGTATCCAGGTTTCACCACACTTCAGACCAACCAGCCTTTCCTCTTCTCTCTGTCATCTCCAGGTCAATGGGAGTCTATTGAACATGGTTGAGCTCAGTCCATTTGTTCATTGCTGTCTTTCCCTCTCTTCTACTCATCAGTAGACCAACATGGTGGCCAGCAAGCTTGCATGCCTGCTCATGTGTTCCCTTTGAGTTTCAGTCTTGGGGGGAGTGGTTTGTCCTGAAGGGACATGATTGCTTGCTTTGATGGCTCCCCAGCACACAGCTTGCTTTTTCTTGTAGTAGCCAATCAGATTGCCATTTTTGTTTTGGATTTTTCCTGCTGATCTTTCTTTGAAGATGTATTTTGTTTCCCTAGCTATTCCAGGCTGGTCTGCTTGTCCTTTCTAGTGGGAATGTCCCACCCCAGAAAGTTCTGGATGGGGCCCAGGATTCCACATAAGGTCCTATACATTACAAAGGCTCTGCAAGAAGCCTATTTCACTGGGCAAGTTCTAGAACCCCTTTTAGGTATTTCACGGAGTTTTAAATGACTGATTTTTCAGTAATTCAACAGGCTTTTCTTCTGAGCTATCTCAAGTTACAATTGAATGGCCAACCTCTTAGTCATCAGATGAGCATATTACCACCTGGGATCATTCCTATTTTGCCTTTGTTGGCTTGTTTGAATCAAAATTGAGAAAATTTATCTCAAATCTAGGTTAATCAATTATTGATAGTCCTGATGTGGCACTGTGGATTAATGTGCTGGACCACAAAGTCAGTTTGAACTGCAAGGTTAGCAGTTTTATATA